AACAGCCGCGTCGCGACGGCGGAGGGGGGAGGGGCTCTCGATTCCACCCCGGCGAGGCCCCCCCCCGAAGAGGCCGGGAGGCGGACTCCAACGGCGGGATGGGGGACTTTACCGGCGGATCCCGCCGCGCGATCGGCCCTCGCACGACGTCGCCTGCACGACGGTCAAAAGGGCGCTCGCGGGGCATTCCCTGCGAGGTCGTGGACGCGCGCTCCGAGAGGGAATTCTTCAGAGATCGCCCGCCGGAGCAAAGGGAGCCCTTCTCGGAGGCCGCCAAGGAGCTCTGCTTGCTGCCCCTGGTGGAGATCGGCGCCACGGGTGAACTCAAGGAGCCTTTCGCCGTGTAGGGGCGAGTCTTGGATCCGGGGGCTCCATTGACGCGCGATTCTTCACTCTGAACCGGAGCGTCCGCCGAGGGGCGTCGCCAAGACGGTTGGTCATTGTTGGTGAACTCCTTTGTTTCAATATACTGAGGCCGGTCAGAGTTTCTTTTCGCAACAGAAGGCTTCACAAAACGACTCTTCCAGGTCGTCGGAGCCCGCGGCAACATGGGATTTGCCTGGGATGGTAGGGAGGATTGGAGGCTATTAGACTTCCGTGTTTCTTGATGCGAGCAACCAATATGAGATTTGATGATGGTGGAGAAGTCAATGTCCTCGTATAAGTGGTTTCGGTGCGCACCGGGCGCCTCATGTTCTTGTAGGTTACCAAAGTAAGCATATTGATCAAAAGTCATACCAGCTCGCTCGGCCGCTAAGTGCGACGAAGTCTGAAGTCTATCAGCCATTCGTAAGATGAAATGTTCTCCTAATTGGTTTAAATTGAGGGGTTTAAAAAAAATGACGAAATGCAGCTCGTGCAAATAAACAAACGAGGCACACTTTTCAAAAGAAAAAAAGAAGCAGAAAGTGCGAAATAGAGATGAACAGCATAGTCATTACTATAATTGCCTGTTTACCCGACCCCATTTTACGAGGTGAAAACTATTAATTGACATCCCGGGGCAAGACCTTCATACATCTCTTGCTATGGCTGCAAATCCACAGAAGTCGAACGGACATGAATCCGTTGTCTAAGGCAATGGTAAAAGAAAGGGTTGAAAAGAATTCATTCAGAATCCCTAAGATTTAAAAATTGGTTGGTGCATTTTACGCCACGTTGCCCCCACACCACGAACTCCCCTCTTCACTTACCTACTGTTTTCCTATTTTGACTATGACGGAAGATGAAAAATGGCCAACACGCAAGACCATCATCTTTAGTCTGAAAAGTTGATCAGACGATAGAGTTTAGCGCAAACCTGTGTCGACTTGTCAATGCTTGCCGTGTTTTCTGCTCTGCTTGGCGATGGAGTTTAACTATCGCAAAGGCGCTGACTGCGAAACAGATAAACCAGATGAGTTCAAAAAAAATAAAGGAGGAAAACCAACTTGTTTCCTCCGTCACAAATTCCGAAGTGGCACAGCTAGATTTCGTGGACATTTCAACCATTGTAAAGGAATAATAAAACCTGTTAAAATGTTTATGCACTGGTTAGAAAGAAGAAAAACGGAGCGACAAAGCATTATGGAGGGGAGCGAAGGGTTTAGGTCATACTAAAAGCTTCAAGCGCACTTCAGAGGCTTAGACATTAACAAACAATGTAAGGAAGAATTATTATCACTTTTAAAAGGAAACATATAAATATATAAACGCACATGTGTTTATATTTATATCTAACGAACTGGTAACGAATTAATGGCACTGATTGACGTGAAGGTACTTCTATATTACGTCATCCAAGCGTTCCCAAAAAACAAAGACACTAGTTCAGTGCATCATCGTTTCAGGCTTCATACACCAACACATACGTACGCGCATACACGTATCCATATATATATATATATATTATGGATGTCTGCGCTGACGACGGTGTTCAACGATTACATCTAGAGACCTCATACCAACCGAGCGTGAACACGATCTTCCTCCCATGTGGGGTTACAATCCACATGACATCCCACCACTCCTTCCTCCCGACTTTGAGGGCGAAATTACGCCGGTCGGATCGATTTTCCCCCTCATTCACGGGGTCGTTTCTCCCCCGGGAGGGGCTCCCGCGGCTCCTCCTCGACCTCCGCCTCCTCCGCGAGGAAAACAGGGGAGACCCTCAGGCGGGGGATCTCCTCCGGCGGGGTATCCGGCGGCAGCCCTATGGGCACCGGCGTCCCCTGCAGCTCCGCCAGCGCGCGTCGGAAGCCCTCCTCGGAGTCCAACTCCACCAACGCGTACCCCGGGCAAAGACAGTCCTTATCGAGCGGGATCTTCACCTTCTGGACGACCCCGAAGTAGTCGGGATCGCCCTCCCGGAAGAGCGCGAAGAGGCTCTCAACATCCTCCGTTGTCGTGCAGGGTGGGAGCTGTGTGAGGAGGAGGATCCACCCTTCGATGCTCGGCACCGGCTCCCCAGGGAGCACCCCGGGTGGCGGTTGCAGCCGTTCGTAACGCGCGCGCGTGCGGCGAACGCGACGAGTGCGTTGAAGCGTCTCCATCGCGTCGGGCTCGAGAAGAGCAGAGGTCGAGGCCACAACAGCCTCCCCCAGCCCCCCTTCCCCATTCGCAGCGCTTTCCTCGTCCAACATCGCAGCAGCCTTTAGGATATCCAAAAATGGGGTAACCCCTTTAGCCGCGGTAGGAATGATCGTGCACGTGTTCACCCGCTCTTGGAGATCTTTATCTCCTCGATAATGGTGTTTATTCTTTTGTCTGATCCACCTTGTAAGAGGTAGAGTGTGAGAGAAGACATCGCAAAGGAAAGTCCTTTTTCCATTAGCACAGCTCTAGACCAGTTCTTCGTATGAGATCAATCAATCACAGAAATAAAAAATTCGAACCCACCCTCATTGGGTACATATACGCACACGTAAAGGGAAAAAAGACAACATCTCCGTCAAGGAATAAATCTTATTGTTAAGCATGGAACAACAACAAAAAAAAAAAAGAAGAGTCTTACTAGTATACAAAACACCACTGACGCTATTCACACGATAAGGGTTATAGAATAAGTCTTAAATAAGACTCCCTATAAACACTTTATTCATCATCGCTCTTGACTACTCGAACCCTTAAAGATCCTCCCCATTCCACCGCAGCCCTGGTTTTGTTGTTGCCCCACCGTAACCGGTGAGTCGAGGCCCGTACCTGTGATCGCCCTTCACATAGCCACCACGCATATTCCCGGTAACGACATACTGTCCATAGGCCTTGATAATTGTGGCCTCGTTATTACTCCGGGTAAATATCTTTCCAGGCTTCACCGACGCGAATCGATTCGACCGTGACATCATGATGTCGATTTTGTCTTGCAATTCATACGGCGTGCAAGATTCAACACCCTCGCCGAGCTCCACACGAATGGGGTAAAGAATGCCCTGACGCGCATACGGTTCACCCTGCCGCATAGAATCAACAATACGGCAAAAAACAGGCGCGAAGCGAAAAGTAGTGCTACAAAACATTGCTTACTGCGCTAATCAACTCATGCACCTTCGCAGCTTTGCCCAAAGAATATTCTTTTATTATCTAGATTGAAACCGTTAAGGCGGTATCATTCCAAAAAAGAAAAACTCAAGGAGAGAAAGGCTTCATAATGGGAAATCGATCGAGCAAAATCGCGTGTGTGTGCCTATCTACCCTAAGGTTTGGTAAAAGGGTCGACAATACTTTCGTTCTAGTACTTTAAAGGTCACCCAGAATTCTTTTCGAAGTGCAATATGAGTTGGTTGTCCTTCAGCAAACAGACATTCTTAGCAAAAAGCCAATAATGACTCATAAATAAATAAAGAGCAGCAGTAATTAACAAAATACTCATCTATTAATAGATACTTTTACTCGCAGAAGCACAAGCCAGAAACCTCAGAGGCGCATCGAGTATAGATTCATATCATGTATCAGGTTACCACACACAATCGTGAGCTCAGCCATAATACCATCTCATTAATCAAATGATTCACAAGAGATAATCCCTTGAGATAAAAATAATGTGAGAAGCGAGTTTAGCATCGATAGGAAATGCCCTGGTTTATTGTGCTCGACACATAGGGAAGTTACCTATCTAAGCGAGGGCACCTTTATACGTCAAAAGAGACGATATTTTACCATTCAGGCCTCCCCTCAAGAGAAGTTTACGCAAGGACAAACCAAACGCTCCCATCGCAAGGACAAGCGCACACAGAAAAGCTTGAAAACATAAAGGCAGCGGTGTTCAGGATTTCACCTGCAGAGCAGACTCATCTCACCCCATTAGTCGAGTTATTTAAATGGTGCATAAGACGATCTTCAATCTCTATTGTCTGTAGAACACATTCCAGGCGAGTTGCTAAGAAATTCACTAAAGGAAGTTGAGGGTAAAAAGAAACCCTTGGGGAGATATTTCCCTTGAGGACATATCGATAAATGAGCCTAATAAAACAGATGTCAAGCGACGTGAACGGCACCTTGCATGGGGTAGATGGTGATTTCAGGAAGTAAGTCAGGATGCGAGGGTTAGCGTATCCAAACGGCATGGGATGCGGTATGTCGAGGAGTCTTTTGGACAAGAAGCCGTCACCACGTTCGGGTCGTTGGCTACTAGATGAGAGGAGGGTTCTCCCCCCGATCTCACGTGGATGCCAGAAGAAAGCAGAGAAAAAGTTAGACTGCATACAGGTTAATTTACTCCTCCCTCCCTCCTCTCTGACGTTGAGATGCTCTGATATAAATCGGAAGAAATCTTACATCTTTTTTAAGGGAGATTCATTTATTTCACTTTCCCACAGATAGATCCAGATCTTTAAGATCGTAGAGAACGTACCTGTATTGCAAGCGCTGATTGAAGAAGAAGCGGTATCCCAGGCCTGCTGCAACACTCAACAGCGACGAGAGATCTTCATTCACATACCTCGTGGAGAATAAGACGTGTTTTTCACTCGCAGTGAGCGTTGATGACGAGCTCCGAAAAGGAAGCAATGACTTAAACAATGTATATATATATATATATACATATATAAGTAATAAAAAACAAACGGAAAAGTTTGAGCTCATAGACGTAAACCTTTAATTTTTATGCAGTCATCAATGTCTCAGGAAAAGCACCCCTACTGGAATTCTACAATAAAAAAGTCATTCGATCAACTCACTTACTCCATTTTACTGTCCAAAGGGCAAGGAAATAAACCTACACGAAAGAAAAGGAGAAAATAGACGCATAAAAAGGAAAATAAAAATGCCGTAAACGTCAAATGATCATAATAAGCGAACAGTCGTAAAAACCCAGCAAAAAAGGACTCTAAGCATAAAGATTCAGACAAAAACAATATAAAAACAAAATAGTGTGCTCACTTTACTACGGATAAAAGTTCTGGTGGCATTCATTTGCGGTGTATGAGTGCTGTATAAAATCTATACAATATATATATATATATATATATATATATATATATATAT